AGGCAGGGGGAGGCCAGCGGGGGCCATGACCCCACCCAATGTTTGGTGCCAAAAACTAGTACTACTCCATCCTAAATTGTAAGACGTTTAACTTTTTTGGCCCCAAGTTTGACAACTCGTCTTATTCAAAAAATTTGTGTAAATATAGTCAAATTTAAGTCATTCTTGAAGAATTTTTATTAATAAACCAAACCACGACGAAAGAAGTGATATTTTACATAATTTTTTAAATAAGACGAGTGGTCAAACTTTGTGTCAAAAAAGTCAAACGTCTTACAATTTGAAATGGATTGAGAACTTCTGTGCTGCATATGGCCAAAAAAACGTCCAAGCCCATGTACGTATACGGTAAAGACTAGATAGCCCAACCGTCTAAAGTCTGGCCATCCGAGGGCCGATCACGATTTGCGATTCACGATCCTGCCGCCAGCGCCGCCACACCCGCCCCGCCGCCCGGCCGTAAAGGCACCTCCGTCCGGCGTCCCCAGGTCCAGCCGTCCAGGGCTCCAGTCTCTCCATCTCCGAATCAGTCTACACATCCAGCAGGCAGCAGGCAGCACGCAGCACGGCAGCAGATAGCCAGGTATGTTCTTTGTTCTATTCTAATTTTTATGTTCATCAGTTTAGAGCTAATGCCTAATTGGCTAATTAAACTATTATTTTTATTTGAAGGATAATCATCATGAAACTTAAAAGGACGACAATTTGACTCTTTTTACAAGGGAGACACTGCTGCTGCTAATGTTTAAATGAAACTCTTATTGATGACTTCGATGCGATTCAGACGCGCAGAACAAAACTTAAATGAAACATGTTGGTTTCTTTAACCATTCATCCTTATAGTTATATTTTTCATCACAAAATTGTCGCACATGTATAATTAATTTTGGTGTTTCAATATATGATCCAACTCTATATGCATATATAGATATATTGAAATTTATGCTATATTATATGTATTTGATTGTCCTTCCGGAGTAGATTCTCGGCAATGTGCCGAGTACACCAACGATGGTGTAAAGGTGCATACCCCTCTATCTGCTCTCTCGCATGGCCATAAGTATACCATGGTGCCTATCAGATATGATGCCAATCTCCCTGCCAGGCCCAACCACATGTATCCAGATCAGCCTCAAGAACCATCCCCAACTGTCATTGTTCTCCTTCTCAACCAAAAAAAATGTCAAAGAAACCAACTTGTTGTTTACGTTACAGGATATGGCTATAAGAAGTGTGCCCTGGTACTTGCCAATCAAGAACGTATCATCAATGGAGAAGACGGGATGGCAGTGCCTAAAGGCCTCGACACACTGAGAGAACACCAGAAAGCACGGAAGAATATCTACCTCCCATCCTTCCATGCGTTTGGTTTTGGGATGTACTCATAATGCATGCCTGGATTCACCGTTTTGATTGCATTAAAAAGTACTAGCTCGTACCCATCCTTTTAGTCCCCATATATCATCTTCCACGCACGCTGCTTAGCCCTCCAAGCTTTAACATACGTTATCACATAACCTTCATACAACGTCTCAACGGTCCTTATAATTGTCCTAACCTTCATGTTGGGTTCTCCCTGCAATATTCCCATCAACCGCTTGGCAATGAGGATAGATGTCAACTGTCGTTGCTTCAATGTGAGCACATGTTCAGCACAAGTGTGTGGTCCGACAACTTTTGTGATCTTCCACTTTCCGGTGACCTTTTACTTCCTTGCATAAACCCTCCATTGGCAGTGTTCCTTGTCACAAACAATTGTATAACGCCGCTCCACATATGAATGCGGGACCTTGTAAGGTCTTTTGCGTATCACTGGAAACTGCTGCAACCACCTCTTCAATGCAGGGAGGTCCTTGAAAACCCTCCCCTTCTCAATTACCATGCTAGGGTCGGCCTCAGAAGCTTCTAGCAGCTCATCATCCCGTCCTTCTGCAAATGCCTAATCGAAATGAGCAAGATCGCTGAACTCGTGAACTCTTGGATCATGGCGGCCGGGAAAGATACGCTTCAGCATCGCAACGTCACTCTCCGTCAGCTCTCCAATAGGACGATCATCATCAGAATCAATAGCCCTTGTGATCTCATATGGATCTGAATCATTCATAATTTCAACACTATTGGAGGCACGGAATCCATCTCCACTGTGCACTTGCGTAGCAACAGGAGGCACATCCACATTGTCGGAAATGTCTCCTGCAACATAAGCAGAAATACGAGGAACGAATGAGAAAAATGGATAAAAGAAAGGGGATAAGCTCCAAAGGATGCGGATAAGACACTTACTCGGATGATTCTGTGTCAAAGGGATCTCCTGAGGAGGATCTGCTACAACATCATGAGTCCAACAATCATCTCCAACTGCCTCAGAAATATGGACCTCATTGGGGGCAGATTGAGCATCAGGAACCGTAGGCGCAACCTCCGCATCCATATCAGGTTTCGGGACAGGAAGGTCAAAGTGTGCCTACTGACCCATTGGCAGGGAAAACCCATGAGGGATGCGATCAAGTACCACCCGACGCACAACCATGTCCAAATTTTGGAACTGGCTCTTCATAGCCGATCTCACATAGTTCTCCCACTGATCCGCACACCCAATTGGGATCATCTTTCTTAGGATGTTGGGAGGGGAACCTAGGTGAAGTACACCCTCAACTGCGATGCCACCATCACCATCATCATCTCCACGGCAATGTAGCTCCTCCCGAGCCCTTGCAACCAACTCACTAAATGAAGGCTTCTCATTAAATAACACAGGCACGCTTTGCATCTCAACAAACTCAACATATCCACAGCGATCTCTTTCCACAGTGCCTCCATGATATATGCTCACTAGGTTGTCCATCTAGTTCATACACATAACGAAGCACATTTCCTTTAGTCCAATATGAAGGAAACATACTAAGTATAAGGTCTCTAGTACGTAATAACTAACTAAATATATACTATCAATTCACTACTAACTACTAAGTACTACTAATTATGTCAAGTAACTATCTAACTATGTAACTAACTATATAACTATTTAACTAACTATGTAAAGCATCCATCAATCTACCTATCTATCTAAATATCTTTCTACCTATCTAAATCACTACCACATTAACTAACTAACTATTGTCAAATAAGAAGAAAATTAACAAACTAATGTACCTTGCTTGACTGCAGGGGAGGCGCAGTCGGTGCACGGGAGACGAGCCGGTCGATAGGAGGCAGAGGCGGCCGTCGGGGAAGCTGTCGTGCGCCCCTGGTGCGCCAACGCGTCCTCCCGGCCGGCCACCACAGCGGCAAGGTAGGCGGGGGCATGCGGCCACGGAGGCGGGCACAGGCCCCGGCCACTGGCACGGCCCCATGCCCCTTTGCTTGCCGGGCCGGGGCAGGCAGGCCGGCCAAGCAAAGGGGCGTGCCGCCATGGCCAATCCCTCGTGGGGGGCGGCATGAACATGGGCGGGCCGCCGTGATCGTCATGGGCCGGGTCGCCGGGGGAGGGTCGGCCGGGGGTGTAAGGCGGCTGGGAATGCGAGTGGCCGAGGGGAGGCGGTGGTGCGCGGGAGGCGCGGCGGCGGTGACGGAGTGAGGGAGAGAGAGGGAGTCGGGCCGAGTGGGTGAGGGAGAGGGAATGAATTGATAGAGATCGGGAGTCCCCAATAGTCAGCCGGCTAGGCGCCAATGATCTTGGCACGGCGCCAAGATCTGTGGTGCCAAGCTAGCTGGCAGGTCACCTCCACGTCTGCGTTGCCGCCGACGTGGCCCCAAGACCTAGGCGCCAAAGACTGTGGCGCCGAGACGTGTAAGCTCGGCACCAAATGACTCTGGAGTCGAGGTGAGGATCTATATTTTGAAAGCATATCTTCAGGGGTATATTTGTAAAAAACTTTCAAAAAAAAGGCCAAAAACAAAAAATTCAGGCACCATGCTGTGCTGGACAAAAAAAACTCATTGAGCTAGCTCGGTACAAAAGTATTATGATTGGACTCGTTTTTCTTTTAAAATAAAAATGACTTGATTTGGAATGACTTTCGACTTCGGCTCGGCTCGTTAAGCTCAGCATGAAGTTGGGTCTTAAATAATTCAGGAGACTATGATAAATAAGATTATGCAAATTTCCAAAAAAAAAACTTAAAAAAACTGTCGTGGGCTCGATATCCAGCCTTACATGCTGGTGATGCCAAGCGGCTACCATACCGGCGATGAGTTTGCTCCCAAACCAGATCAGGAGCCGGACACGCACGACAGGCCACTCGACGAGTCGGAGGCTCGGAGCTGGAAGAAATACCCCTTCCAGAGAGTCGCGGATGGAAGAGAGAATCCCATCCAGTCATGAGAGAGAGAGAGAGAGAGAGAGAGAGAGAGAGAGAGAGAGAGAGAGAGAGCGAGCGAGGAAGCTTTTTTGCAACTTTCTGGCTATCTGGTGCAAGTTGACTTAGCAGCAAGTAGCTAAAATGATTAAACGTGTGGCACAAATCACGCAAAAGGTCGCATCACGAACCAATAACCATACTTTGTAATAACATTCATCATGGTTAAACAAGCAGTGTGCTAATTTGACCCCAATTCATTCCATGTCGACCAACTCCGGATATTGGCACAAGAAAGCAGTTACCATGGAAAATAAACTTGGAACTGACTACCAACATTTAATTTAGCTACTGGTTAAACAGCAAATCATCCTACTCTATGAATCAAGGTCGGTACGACGGGAACACGAAATTATTTCCAATTCCCTGCCCTCAACTACATCTCTAGACCACAAACTGTATAACCATCCACAGCTACTCATGCACGCTACATCAGGAATCAGGAGTTCAAAGCCGCCGCCTAGTATCAATAAGTGTGCTAGCTCTTCAATCGAAACAATCTCATTGCATATCCTTTCAATCGCTCCTACAACCAAATCTTCAGGGAGGAACAGAAAGTTGCACAGTTCGAAGGATTAGTCCTATGTTAACAAATTCAATTTTCCTCAAAATGGACTCTGCAAAAATACTGCCATGTTCTTATCAAGACCTCCAACTCATGGTACCCTGCACCATCCAAACAAACATAAAAATTAGCATATCGTTCAGAACACACTAGTTTATTGATTGTTTTGTAAAAGTGTCGATTATTAAGACTTGACTTTGACATGTTTCTCTGTGGTACATAAACAAGCACAGAGCACACAGGTATTTTCAGAAATATACTGTTATGCTCCATATCAATTGTTATGCGTTATGGTCTACATAAAGTCACACCATGCTATAAGACGGCTAACAAGTTCATCAACATTGCATCACTACAGACAACCATCAAAGGAACATATAACTATTATTACTACCATTTTAGGACGAGTACAAAGGAAAAATTGAACAGTTAAGTGTCCACATAGAATCTGAGTAGCTGTCAATGCCATTGCATATTCAGATATTCTAGAGATGGAGCTAAAAATCAGATGAGACTAATGTTAGGTCATAGCCTCATAGGGATGCCTCTTAAAATGGCTTAAGACATGTTGACAATGCACCTCTAACTGAAACATTTGCATCGATAAACAGAAACCACCCAAATTAAGACAAGTTATGCAAGCCAGATCACTGAACAACAGAATCTAAAAAAAACATTACATGAAAAACAAATTGAATCCAATAGGGAAGTAAAGAAGCACGTACCACTATTCTGCACAGGTTTTGATGGCAGAAACCATCAGTCTCCTTTTAACAGCAAATTACAAGGATTCAAGAAAGAACTAGGAAGTGTTAACTAAGTCCATTCCCCGTCTCATCAGTTTTGGAGCTCTTATGCTGCCATAAGTTGATCAGCCACGTTAACAACAAAGCGACAAATTCTCTCTATGAGAGTTATTGTATCAGCAAGGAAATAATAGCAGTGTGCTACCTTACTCTTCTTGTGCTTATGCACATCCGCTGAATCTTCTGTTTCCTCATGCTTCCTCTTCTGATACAAATGGTGGGCATTGCCCATCAAAAGGTATATGGTTTGAAATGAAGCTATTCAGAGTTTTTGAACATACAGAAAATGGACCAACCTTTTCATGATGTTTCTTTGAATCAGAATCATGATGACCACTTTTATCTTTTTTCTTATCCTTGTCTTTGTCTTTATCTTTGTCCTTACTCCGATCCTTATGCCGATGTTTGTGCTTCTTATGTTCCTTGTCTTTGTCCCTGTCTTTGTCTTTGTGCTTTTTATGCTTCTTTTCTTTGTCCTTGGACTCACTTTTTGGTTTACCCGAAATAGTCGGTATGCCCTTTTCAGTCTGTTGATATGGTATATGTTGTAAACAGTACAATGAGCAAATCTAATAATGCCATAAAAGAAGTGAGATGCTAGAAAGGATCTTACAGAGGGCAAATCCACAGGAGCTGTTTCTCGAAGTTGGAATGCTTGCCCCAGTGTTTCCATATCAAAGGGCTGAATATAAGCAGGTTTATCCCTCATATATGCATTCTGAACAAGTTGATCTAACTCCATTCCTTCTCCTTTGCGAATTTCAGTGTCTCCCACAACATTGTGAAGATAATGTGTATCTGATATTGCCAGTGGCAAAGGTTTCTTGCAAAAGAAATCATGGTGTGACAGCAGTTTGTAGTGGCTGATCAAATCAACAGCACCAGTGAGCTCCCTTGGCCCTGAAATACATAGAGAGATGATATATCAAACAACCACATAGCCGGCGAATAAGGTTCCAGAAAAGATAGATGCACTGATATATCTATGAAGCAAAATTTAATCTAGCTTACAATAGACATTAGATGCAGTATTGTCACAAAATACTAAATGTCCAACTAACACATTGTGAACTATGAATAAGTCAAAGCAGGTGAATTTTTGCCCATTGTTAAAACAACAACAACAACAAAGCCTTTTAGTCCCAAGCAAGTTGGGGTAGGCTAGAGTTGAAACCCAACATGAGCCCCTAGTCACGGTTCAGGCACGTCAATAGCTGTTTTCCAAGCACTCCTATCCAAACTAAGATCTCTAGGTATATCCCAACCCTTTAAATCTCTTTTTATTGCCTCCCCCCATGTCAGCTTCGGTCTTCCTCTACCTCTCCTCACATTGATATCTCGACTTAGAACTCCACGATGCACTGGTGCCTCTGAAGGTCTCCTTTGGACATGGCCAAACCACCTCAACCGATGTTGGACAAGCTTTTCTTCAATTGGTGCTACCCCTAGACGGTCACGTATATCATCATTCCGAACTCGATCCATCCTTGTATGACCACAAATCCAACGCAACATACGCATTTCCGCGACACTCAGTTGTTGGACATGCCGTCTTTTTGTTTGCCCATTGTTAAAAGAACTACAGTAAACAGCTGGCTACAGGACATACTGGCCTAAGCTGGCAAAAGAATCAGCACCAAAAGTTTGTATTTAAAATTCTAAGCATATAATTATTACTAATTTCTTGCAAGCTAATGAGGATAACTTGTAATCAAGCAAGCTGTGATATTAATACCAGTCTGTTGCTTTGTGCCCACATGAATTAGAATTTAGCATTTCAGATTTGCACACTGAATAATTGTCATAAGGGGAACTGGGAAACATAGGGATCACAAATAATAATTACCTGCTTCCATAAAACAAATTCATTTTTGTTCCTTTCCAGCACTAACCACTAACCAACCATTCTGGTTGATAATACCAGCCACACAATCAAAATTTCAGATAGTGCTACTTGGCTGGCATAATACTGGTAATGGTAACTTGGAGGCAACCTATGCTAGGTGAGGACTTATCACTTAGCATGTTGTTTATGCACCTGGAGATCAGGAATCAGGACCCCAACAAAAGCTAACCACCCATATTAACAATTTCATTTCTGAAAATTGCTTGTCCACCAAATGCATATTTAGGGTGAAATGAACCGTGCGTCCCTAAACTTTCCACATATTCCCATTTGGGTCCATGAACTCTCAAAGTAATCATCTAGGTCCTTTAACTTTTCAAGTGATTCATTCAAAGTGTAAATTCAAGTCCATGATTGGACCTAGAGTGAACATAAAATGGACCACTTGAAAAGTTGAAGGATCAGATGATCAATTTGAGAGTTCATGGGCTTAGATGAGAATGCAGAAATTGTTTAAGGACCCACAGTGCATTTCATTCTTTTAGGTGAGTTTTAACCCAAACCCTACCGTTTCCAAACTTCTTGTCATCAGAATCCATCAGATTGGAGCTTGACCTATGCAAAGAGCATCTTCACCTGAAATTCAATTAGGAAAGAATGTAACAACAAATGTGTACAGGTAAAGTGAACTGGTTCTGTAATGAACAAACAAGATATACATTACTACATATCTACATACCACACAGACATGTTAAATCCCATGACCATGCAAACATCGATAGACAATGCATAACCACATATGGTGTCACCATCAAAAGTAATGAACAGGTTTCCCCTCTCTTATTTGAAATACTATGGAATTACATGTCAATTGTCATGTGTAAAGCACTGTGATTTTAGCAAACCAAACATTATTTTGAAAAAAAAAACTCTAATCGGTTCCAAAGAGTAGTGAGGTAAGGACGATTCAGATGTTATAAATGGAGCATACCAAGTGAAGAATTCAGCCCATATTAGCATTTTCTATTTCTCTTTTGTGTTACATAGCATCTATATATATGTCAGCAGACAGAATCCTTGCGCGATATATAACAGCTAGCAGATCAAAGCTATGACCTAATCGGTGCAAAAGTTTGTCTTAGGCCCATCAGCAATAATAACTAATGTCATGACATGACCAGATATCAGCTTGATACTTGCTCGGTTAACAGAATACTGAGAATGGGATATCATTCTGCTCAGGTTTTTATTTTTCCTTTTGGAGGATAGGAGGATTACCCGAGGCATGTAAAGTACAGCAGTTACAATGAATAAGGATTGAGAAAAAAATTCAAGCAGACAAATGCTAGCAACAGGTTTCCGTGTACACGAAGACATTACTATCCCAATCATTCTAGAGGCACTTCAAAGAAAAATAGGCCAAGCACTAGACCAAAGACCGCCCAATCAGATAATCAATCAACCTCATGTACAGTTACTAGTGGTAAAGGTCCAAAAATAATCCACAATTGGCAAAACAAAGCACTAGAGAGAGCATGCCAGCAGGCCACCATACAAATTCAATACAAGATGCTTCTGACAATATACATAGGATACCCTACATAAAGGATCTCTGGCCAGGCAGCAACGGGCCTATTCGGGACACCAAAACTGCACACACAGCAAACATAACTATTACTACAAAAACCCAGCATTGTAACCAATGGTGATAGCCAGGAAGCATGGCTACAGGCTCTCAGTTGCAGCACATGAACTCCATTGGTCCAGAAACAGCCCCTGAAACACCAGTGTATCCAGGACAGGAGCCCCTGAAACACCCGTGTATCCAGGATGCAGTTAGGGCATGGGGATTGAGCCGGGCCACTGATTCTAGAAAACACCCGTGCGGCCAGCCAGGGTGCTCTGCAGGCAGCTAAATTGAGCCTGCGCGCTGGATACTACAAGTCTAATCGAACTGAAGGGGCGGGTGGAGCACGCTAAGTTGGGCAGCAGCGCCACGAAGCGGGCGCGAATCCGCGCCTGAGTGACCGGTGGTTAGGGTTCAATTCAATTCCTCCTGCCGCAGCAGCGAGGAGGCACCGGACACAGGGGCAAGCTTGGGGAACTCACCGACATAGCACGGAACGATCTCGAGGCGGGGACCGGTCTCCGCGCCACCCCGCGCCAGTCCAGTGCCAATAGAGCGCGAGGGCCGGGGCGGGGGTGGGGTCGGGGTCGGGGGCGACGCCTCCCCGGCGAGGGCGGCGAAGACGTTCGGGTGGGAGGCGGGGCTGGGCCCCTGCGGTGTGCGCCGTCCGTCGCTGGCGGCGAGAACGCCGGCGGTGAGGGCGGCGGCGGTTGGGTAGCGAGCGGGCAGAGAGAGGGAAAGGATCCGGAACCCTCGACGACCCCCGAAGTTTCGCTTTTTGCTCGCCTTCTGGCTTGTAACGGAAGGAGGTCTTGGCAAAACCACCGGACACCACACGGGTTTTCTTGCCGTGGAGACCCCACCCCGGTCCAGCAGCTGTGCGCGGTGCGCCGACTCCAACAAGGAGTTCCGTGATGTCAAATACGTCTTCGACTCGTACAAGCAGGAGTATACTAGTAGAACACACAGATCTGCAACGACACATGGGGAGATGGATTTCCATTCCATTCAGAGTTTCAGACTGCCCACCAAATCAGTGGGTACAGATTTGCAGTTCTACAAATGGGCCGGCGCCTGTACAAGCAGCCTATGTGAATTCCCACCCACTCCTCCTCTCCTCTCCTCTCCTCATGTCTGCATTCACCTCAGTGCAGTTGATCACACCCTTATCTATAAAGAACCAAAGAACACTGTGATGTCGAGATCGAGATGATGATTTCTGGCGTTAGTTATCAAGCAGATGGTTGTATGACACTGAAGCCAGGCGAACGGAACAGAGATCATGAACCTTGATCCAACCTCTCCCCTGTTCTACAGCATCCTGTGATGGGGGATATCACACCTAGGCCACCATTTCCCCCTGGAGCCTCATGTTATCTGTAGTTACAGCAGCTCGCACGCCGTGCTGACAGTTTCTCCCAGAGGCACAGCATCTGCCTGGGGGACTGGTAGTGCGCCGTGAAGTAGTTATCCACGCAGCCGAACTGGCAGAACCTCCAGCTGTGGACGTACTGCACGGGGGCGCTGGTGTTGTAGTCCTCCACCCACATGCCCATGCTCACATCCTCCATCTTGAACAGCTGCAAGCAGCATGGAAGATGGCCCGTCAGGAGGCGTTGGCGGAAGGCGCGGTGGGCAAAAGGTAAACAGATGTATCGCGGTTAAGACTTAAGACAGTGAACCTCACCCGTAGGGAGTGATTTGTATGCCGGGATGCTATGTCTCTCGCGATGTCGGCCGAGATAACGTAGCCAGGTCCATTGGCATACGGGGGATACGCAGCTTCAGGCCATTCCTGCAGGCGCACGCTTCGAGTGAGCAAACATATGCATGTTAAAATTGCAGCTCCATGGCGCTTACGTCGGCGCTAAGGTACCTCGTAGGTGACGGCCCATTTGCCCCTTCTTTGAGGCCTGTGCAAGAGATTCAGGTTGCCCAGATACAGAGGTAAGGTTCTGTTGTAGGTAGTGATTTGTTGCAATACTATATCCAGACGCACAAAGGTGTCGTCATCGCACTTCATGATGTAATCTGCAGTGACGTTTTGCACCTATACATAAGCAAATGGCTCTCACCAGTCAGCATTTGTCAATGTCGGATGATACATTGGAAATGGACATTTAACACGAATGTAGCATAACTAACCCCGTATTGACATATCGCAACTGTTTTCAGAACCACCAGCTCATACCGGTCGATAAATGGCAGAATTACTATGTCTCCAAAATATTCTGCTTCCTTCTTTAGTGCTGCGTTTATCTCCTTTCTGTGGCTCTACAAAGGAAGCACGTCACAAACTCATAATGATACTGTTATGGATTGAACCATTGTGAAATCATGAGAACAAATCATACCAGCGCGACAAAGAACCGGCAACTGCATTCCCCAATTGGATAGCCGGAAACTGCATCCAAGTTTTCCTAATAGCCATGCGCTCAGAGAAATGGTTTGTAGCAGAGAGGATGCCAATGAAAAGATGAATTGGTTCCTCTGGGACAGGGCGAGCCTTCCACCTTTCAGACATTTCCAAGACTTGTTGGAGAGAAAAACTAGGATGGGCCTTTGGAAGCGCTGTTGCATATACAGAGTGAACATCTATGCCCCCTGTTATGGCTAAACCTGTTGCATCTTCGAGAGTGAATCCCTGACAAATATTGGCAATAAAAAAATAAGTACCCAGTGATTTCTTTGCCAGAACTTCGAAATATCTCTACAATGGAATGTATTCTTTGGCAAGGGAACTAAAATTTACCATCCTATGAGGAAATGAGGCAACATGGCGGCCTCCCACATTAATATGATATCCTTCAATGCCAGCTTGGATAGTGAGAACAAACATCTTCCCCTCTGAAAATGGAAATGGCCATGTCATTTCAGGTTTCTTTGCTCGCCCGATAAATCTGTTGAACCATGAGCTTGTCTTTGTTTCCTTCGACTCAACTATGTCCTGCCGCTCCCATTTCTCACATTTTCTGAATCCATCGACTGCAAAGTTAACAATCTGCAAGAATAAGTACAAAGGACTAAAGGTGGCAGCCATAAGGTAGCAACAGACACGAGCAGCAATGCAAGCAACACATTACAATACGACTTATAAAAATGAATAAATTAGGACACATGGCCACTACACATATAGATTTAGCACCTTTGTCAGGAATCCGTTTTTTGACCTTTCATCAGTGCTCATCCACCCAATACCTTATACTTCAACCAACCGCCGCAAACAATAATAGACGCACAAGAACAAATAAAATTACCTAAGAGCATCTCAAGAGCCTTTCTAAATCCCACTCTCTAAATCATCTTTTGAAGAGTCATTTGCATAAAAATCATTTTCTATATCTTTTCACTCTCCTGACAGTTTTTCTATATCTCGTGCGCACTCTAGAGAGCCATTCTCGTCTTCTATTTTTTGCTAGCGAAAAACCCGGAACAGAAGAAGGCTATATTTGGATAACCATTTAGAGAAGCTGTTGGAGGGTAGTTTTTCATCGAAATCTCTATTCCTAACATTTAGGAAGGATATAGAGTCTCTTGGAGATGCTCTAAACTGGTGAAGAATTAACAAGGTTCTGGACAAAATTATTCAAAACATCAACGGATGCGTCATGAAAGCATATTGTTCCATACTGACTAGTGACTACTATGTGTTTCTTACCATTTCCCAAGAACAGGGAGCTTGCATTGTCCAATTAATAAGCATGCCAAGTTTGCTACTTGCATTTTAGTTCAAATTTCGAAACAAACAATTGTTGAAGCGCGCCTCTTACTCAGGTCATCGTCTCTGCAAGGGGTGCCGTCGCAGCGCTGCGCCCTGCCCCACTGCATTCGGAAGCAGGTGTTCATCTCTAGCACGGGGCGACCGCTCCAGTCGCCACGGAGCCGCGGGTTGAGGTGGAGTATCCTCGGTGGCTCCTCGCCGTCGGCGGCGCGCAGGCCGCGCAGCTCCACCGCGAACTGCGCCACCAGCACGGTCCCGTTGCCCGCGCCGCTCCGCTCCAGCGCCTCGACGTACTCGGGCCGCGCCGCGCGCGCCGTCCCCACCACCGTCACCGCCGACCCGGCGGCCAGCCCGCACGGCAGGAACGCCGCGGTCTCCCCGGCGCCGAGCGCGAGCGAGCCGGGGCACTTGGCCGCAGCGCCCTCCCCGGCGACGTCGCGGGAGGCGATGGAGTCGCCGACGTCGCCGGCGAACGCGGAGGCCTCCTCCCACGCGGCGGCCCCGAGCGCCCACGCCTCGGCCGCCACGCGCTCCAGCTCCGTGAAGTTCCCCAGCCGCCGGCCCCACCGCTCCCGCCGCGCCCCGACGGCCTCCCGCCGCCGGAGGATCTCGCCGGTGATGCGGCCGTACCCGGACACGCCCCCGCCGCCCCTCGCGCGAGCAGGCGGCTCGTCGACCCGCCGCCGCCGCAGCGGCTCGCCCGCGCCGGCGGAGGCCAGGCGGCGGCCGCCGGCAGCAGGCGCGGGCCCCGCGCCGCCGAGGCCAGCGAGCTTGATGGACACGAACAGTAGGTAGGCGAACGCCGCCACGGCGAGGAGCGGCGCACCCAGGCCCCGGCGCGCGCGCAGCCGGCTCACGCCGAGCAATCCCTCGGAGCTGCGCGCGCGCTTCATGGCTGCCGCCCGCCGGTGGCCGGGTTCGGGGACCCGCGACCGCGAGCGGGCCCGGATCCGAAATGGCAGTGGCCGGCCGGCGCTTGCCGGGTCTGGGAGTGGGTGAAATCCGGAGCGAGACGGGAAGGGAAAGTGATGGGTTGGGTTGGTGGTTTAGCGATAACGATCGCCAGCTGGGGCGTTGCTGCTGACGTGGCGGTTACTTGAAACCGTGTCTCAGTCGCAGGTGGGTTACCGTTACTCTTGCTTTCCGGTGTACGTTTCGTTGCTTGCATAGATTTGGAGTTAGATGAAGTGTTACTGTTTACTTGACTTAAATTGGGTTCTACTTTTGACATGGAGTCAGGATGAAGTAACTAGTGTGTGGTACAGTACTTGCTTAGAGATGTTTTTGTTGTATTCAATGTTAAGATAATAATAATGGTTCTGAATGGTACATCTCGCGTGTCTCAGGCATTTTTACTTTATCTCTTGAATTGTCACATTCCTCATATTCAAATCATAAGATGTTTTGGCATCTTTAAATTGATATTATGCATCTAGATATATCATGTATATCTATCTAGCTACGTAGCAAAAGTTATGATTCCAGAAAAGTCAAAACATCTTATAATTTGAAACAGAGTGAGTAGTATTTGTTGCGTCCAATTTAAAATAGCCACAAAATATTTAGGATGGTAATTTTCAGACGGCTAATTATTACAAATAGTAACAAGCCTACATGTATTTAACATACCTATTTTACATCAATAGAGATCTAAACACAACAGCTCATCTTTTATAAGTTGTTTGGTTTCCGTATTTGGTTGCCACGCCAAGCTGTGGCCATGGGCGGATCCAACGGTGGGGCGGGGGAGGGGGGGGGGCTCGAGCCCCCCCTACCCATACCGGAGCTGTGGGAAACCTTGTAGAGCTCTATGAATTTTTAGGCAAAGTTCTATAGTGTAGGGGGGCTGAGACTTAAGATCGAGTTGTTTAGTCCCCCTAAAATATTTCCTGGATCCGCCGCTGCATGTGGCGCCGCTAAAGTTTGTCACGGAGAAATACTGCGTCTAAGGTTTGGCAAGAAAATGAACTGTACGTGTTGTGGCTGCCGCAGCTTTGAAAAAAAAAACAACACCTTTGATTTCTATGACCATCACCAGTTATGTATGTGGCGTGTTGTGCCTTACAACCAGTCTGTTCGGTTGACTGGTTCGTATCGCTGCTGGTTCGTTTACGTGAGAGAGAAATACTACTGGCTGGTTTGCGTGAATTGTAACCATGTGAGGGGGCTGCCCAGCCAGCCCCAGACCAGCTATCAATGTTCGCGTCCTGTTTCTCACCTCACTATGGTTGTCTGTCACACAGGCCAAATATGCTTACGCAACCAAATGTGTTAGCCTCTCTTTTTTTCGTGCCTTTGTGCAGTTTTTCTTGACCACTATTATTGTTTTGTTCTCCCTTTCTTATCACGACACATTACCCCCTCCACGTTTTTTTTTTTTTTGACAACAAGCCCAATCCACGTTGGTTCGCGCCCCCTCACCCTGCCGAAGATCGCTCGTCCTGCCCGCGCTAGCATTGATGCTTGTCTCATTTGCGCTCGTGTCCGCCGGAAGACCGCAAACTAGAGATTTGGCCACGCGCCTCTTCAAAAGCCGCATGACAACAGCTGATGAGGACATCACCGGCTCAATGACCATTTAACCACTTGTAAACCAAAGACACAACCATTTTACGTGAGACTTATCATTGACATGAATTAGCGTTGCACCATGAAGTTCGTATGTTTTCATTTTTTTTAGAATTACGTGCAGGGACGAAGGGAATGTTCGATTGCATATTGAAAGCATGAAAGGTTAAAAAAGTTGTCTAGGGACCAAATCCAATTATTTCTATCGTCCTTCACCAGACCCTTACCTTAATTTTAGTCTAAGGAAACAAAGAGTCCAAATCCAACGTGTCTTAGAAGTTCGGTTTGGGCTACCGAACAGTTCAAACTTGTGACGGTTACCACGGCTTCGTACGAACTCCGATTTGAACGTTCTATCACTTCATCGGTAGCTTATTAAGTCTACTTTCCAATGGATCCGTACTTGTGTACTCATATCAATATCTCATCAGATTTGTGCGCAGTCATCGTTTAACGTCTTCATATCACCGAGGCACGTTCACGATTCATGGAGGATTTGTTTTATAAATAAATTTGGTTTTGCTGGTTTCTTTTCTTTCTTTCTTTTTTTGCCCAAGTTGCTGGTTTGTAAGGCTAGTCTCAATGAGGTTTAATCAGAGTTTCATGGGCTATAAATATGCTGATGTGGCACCGTATTGACGAAGATAGAGATGATGAAAATTTTATAGGAGTAGAGAGTTTCGTGGGGATAAAACTCTTCTGCACTATTTCTAAAATATATAGATGTGTTGCAGACTAGGCTACGAAAACCTTTATCGAGACTGGCCTAATTGTGTGTTGTTGGTGAGTTCACGAGGGTTAGGACGGGGAACATCCCAATATACTGGCCCCGTTCGGCGTACTTCATATTCGGTTTGTTTGACTTTTTTTTTAACCGAAACAGTATTTTTCTCTCACAACAATTCAGTCAGAACGGTGTTTTTCAGTCAAAATTCTGCTAACCGAACGGACCGGCCTTCTTGTCTAGTCAAACGGAAGCTTAAACTATGATGAGTACGTTGGGCCCCGGACGACCGCTGCCAGAAGATGGACGTGATGTCGTCGTCGCTGCCGATACGGCGCCATACCAAATAGCAGGTGGCCACGTGGCCCGGCCGTCAACACAGCCTACAGGGGCGCGGAGGCAGCGTGGGGACGACGTACAGACGTACTACTACAGTAACGTGGGTGCTAGCGAACGTATTAGTAGTGGACGTATCTGGGCCGGCCCAGCCCAACATGAGGTCCTCTCAGTCCAGTCCAGTCGAGTCCACCAGGCAGAAGAAGCGAGAGGCGAGGAGACCCACGTCCCCCGCGCCGCGCTCCTCCACTGGCCGACCGACACGTCACCGGTGTCTTTCCCGTCCTGCGCTCCCGTGTCAGGTCCAATCACGGGCCGGCAGGCCCCCACCGGCAGCCGGCACGCGTGCGTGCAGACTGCTCGGCCACTCGGTACTGGTCTACTCGTTCAGTCGCACGGCAAGTGCACTTGTATGGTTCAAATTTTTTTTCCAAAATAAACATATCTTACTTGTCTTTTTCTACTCTCTCTTTTACACAAAGTACAGTGACTATAACTTTATAGAAACATATATGTAATTTTTAACTAACTTTGATCTTTTTACCAAAACATCTAGAAGTGCACTTATTTTTGACAGTACTCGTACTGGGCAGTAGCACCGCCGCACGGCCTGCACCGCACGGCGGACGGCGGCCACGGCCATCGGCCCAGATGCCCAGACGAGCCGTCCCGTCGCTCGCGGCCCCTCCGGCGCGGCGCTGCGTGCACGTCGGACTCACGTCCGAGCCTCCGAGGCCGCCGCAGCCCGCACTGCATGGTGCATGCTCCTGCTGGCGCACAGGAGCACAGCGCACTCGTAGTAGTAGTACACCGGCAGGCAGGCGTCAGGTCCCGTTGTGTCGGCACGGCACCGCCGACTAGACTAGTCCAGCAGCAGTGACTGCAGCCCCGTCCCGTCGCCGCCCCGGCTTTCCACACCACGCGAGTAGGCGACGCCCAACGGCGCAGGCCGCGCGCCCGCTCGGTGACCTGGTGGTGGGGCCGCCGGGGCAGTGGGCTGGCTGGGCCTCGGTGCTGCTGCTGAGCGGCCGCGCGGGGAACGGGCAGTAGCACCTGGTGGTCCCAGGCAGGCAGGTGGGTCCGGGGAGGAACGCGTGGATGGGATAGAGCGCGGGCGCGCGGCCGGCGAGCACGGTAACTTCTCTACGGAAGCGGGCGTCCGTGTGTCTGGGCTGGCCTCTGCCTGCCGGTAAAAGTAAAACCGACAACGCAACGGCGTGGTGGTCCTGCCCCCGTGCACTGGAGTGGCTGGTGGTGCACTGCACTGTAGCAGGGCTCGGGGCTCCCCTCGCCGTAGGCCCCCTGGGCCTAGGCCATCCACTCCCACGCGACACGCCGGCCCGCTCCCGAGTTGTCACAGGAACGGCGAGCTCGGCCGTCCGTCTCGACTCGGACGGCCCGGATCGTCCGCACGCGGCGCACGGGAGGGCTATTGGCTCAAGGGGACGACGGACGAATCCTCGTACTGCCAGCCGCGAGCCCACGAGAGGGGGGTGCTGCCCTTGCACGTGCTGGGCACCGTCAGCTTCGGTCCCGGCTCTGATGCCGTTCGCCGCGCACGGCGCACTCGGTACGAAGACTGGAAGGAGAGGGTTCCTCCTCGGTCCTCTCCTCCTTGTGGCAGGCTGATTGTGTTGGCCCGTGCAGTTTTAATTCGAGATGGGGTAAACTAGTGCGATTCAAGCAAGTTTCGAAATGGTCCGTGCAGGAGAAAGTACAATTTACTCTCTTTTTTATGCAAAGTACAAGTTACTCTTAACTAACCTTAACTTAATTTGTTCGGTGGAAAAAGCTTAACACTCAATAAAAACATACTTTTATATGTTTTTTATAAGGTACTTTTATATGTTTGACAATGCCAAAACCGTATAGTAGGTGCCGTGATGGGACTGGGACTTAAACACGGTTGGAGGTCTTGTTGCAAAAGGATGACTGCTATAGGTCGTGGTGTCGTATGGCAAGACTATATGACGTCGATTTATTTGGCACCAAGCATCAACCAACACCATCGTTCACATTTCACTCGACTTCTTCGTCAACATGATGCAGTGTCACTATCTTGTCCATATATACCACATTCATATAAAAAAAACATCGCATCTATGCATCGACAAAATGTTTTCATTGCTTGAATGCAAGAGCGCAAATATGTCATTTATGTCGTATGTCCATTACAAATACTAGCATCCATATTAATACCACAATACAGATAGTACTAAAAATCATCACTACTCCTCTCGCATACAACTATTCCTTTTTAGTTCCAAAAGAGAATACATGTACATATATAAAAAGGTGACTAAAATTTGCAACAATGCTAAGAGGAATACATGTACATGCTTCCACATTGACTATATATAACAATAATTTCATCAAACATAATCAAATCTCAGTCTATAGCCCTTTTACTCGTATTAGGATTATGTCAGTGAAAAAATGACCAACAAATAAATATTTGTAGTTTTGCCGTGCGTTGTGATCGGATGTGGCCTAGCACTCAATGACACATGATTTATACTGGTTCAGGCAACGTGCCCTACGTCCAGTTTTAGTCGGTCGGTGACTTTATTTCTGAGCCCAGGTGCTCGAAGTTTGCTGTGAGGTTACAAACGAGTAGAAATGAGAAGGGGGGTGTTAAAGGCCCGGTCGGACTCTGAATCGAATGGAAGAGAGTGATGGATGCTCTAACGTGCGCTAAGTATTAGAGCGTATGCTCTGAGTAGCTTTCGAGTTCTAGAGCTATTGAGTTGTTCGAGTTCTCAGGTCCTCGAGTGCTCGAGTCCTCTAGCCTCCTCCCGTTGGGAGAGAGCGCATCCCCTTTTATAGTTGAAAGGGATGGCCTTACAAGTCAGAGAGAAAGAAAGAGAGTGTATACGTGTCTTATCTAGTCTTGTTGCCCACGCTGTTGGGTACGAGATGGTCGTCAACGCGCTACAATACTGTTTATGTATGGACACATCTGGCAGGCTCTACCGTGTTCGCATGGTACGGCAAACGTCGGCGCCTACAATACTGTTTGCGCTCCGACGCGTCTGGAAGGTTGTATAGTGCCCGTCTGGCATGGTCTGGTGGCACCGTCCTGCAGGTGCGCAGAGCATGGTAGGGTACGGTCCTCGGTATTGCGGTTGACTTGAGCGTCTTACCTTATCTGCTCCGCCTAATCTCCGGGCCCTCACCGAGCGGGCGTCCCCGGTCAGTCGTTCCTAGTCGGTCCCGACCGTGTCGGTCGGGAAAGAACAGCGAGCAGAGGTCTGGCGTATCCTCGATCGGAGTCAGACTGCGATCCCACCTTGGCTAGGCCTTCCGGTTGGGGACCGGATCGTGGTCTCGGTCTGTCATTATATATCTGGGCCGCCCCATGCGCGAGTTGTCGCTGTACCGCCTGCTGGGTCGGGTTTTGCAGGGAAGCGGGTCCGTTGGGGACCCTGGGTTTATGAACCCGACAGATTATATATGAATATAATGTCGGTAAAAGAGGCAAAACTAATGGACAAAACCTGAGAGAGAGTAAAGGAAGGTCACCTTGTATAATCGGATTCCACCTAGATTCCCTTTGATCTAGTCCCGGTTTTTATGAATCTACATAGGGAAGGTCAAGAAGGAGAGAGAATAGGGAGGAGAGATGCTGCTAAGGATACAACAAAAGGGAGTAGTTGGCTTGGTGTGTGTAAGTGGTTAGAGCATCTCTAGCAGTTCCCCAATATCACTTGTCATCCCCATAAAACTGTCATATTGGGAGAGATAGCATATTTTTCCTTCTCCAGCAGTCCCCCAATAGCCCTCCTTTTTTTTGGTGGCCATCAATATCTTGCCCATCTCCCCTCAAATGAAGGGGGAGTTGCATCTCCCCCAATAGTCTGGGGCATGGAAACCGCCACTCCTTCCACTTGAGGATGTGCCACCCGCGGCGATGGTGGCAGAGTGCGCGCCGCCATGGCCTTCTCCTGTGCCACCGAGTGCACACTCCCTCGGCTGCGCGTGGTGGGTGGCCCGCCGCCTCTCCCTCTCGGGTGCCGACGACAGAGTGTCGTGGCCCGCGGCCTTGCCCGCCTCCTTCGGTCGTAGATCCGGTGAGGTTAGCCGGAGCCCCGACGGCGTGCTCACGACAATGGCCATGGGCGGGCGAAGGCGCCATGGTGTCGGTCATGCAGCGAACGCGGTGGTTTGATTCTTGGTGGTGGTGGACGCTGAAGCCAAGGCCGCGAGGCTGCGACGGAGTGGAGCTAAGCGGGCGCCTCGGCCTTGACTGAGCGATGCGATGCGATGAGAAGATGAACGGAAGAGAAGAGGAAAGGAAAAAAATTAATTGATACTGGCAGGTGGGTCCCACATTTTTTAGAGAGTTTTTAGTGATCTGCTGGAGCATCTCCTCCAATAATCTAAAAAAATAGTATTGGTGACCACCAATACCATCCTATTGGAGATGAAGTATTAGGAGACTGCTCAAGATGCTCTTAATAGGGTGTTTGGTGTGAGAAATTGGTTAGTCCATCTTTTCATTCCTTATTTCTTTGTTTAATTTGTGGAATGCAATGGATTGATGTATCATCAACTCATTCCTCTCATAAGCTAATAATTAGTACTTGTATAAAAAATGAAGTCATTCCACCAAATTTATGAAACTAAAATTGTTTGCTTCTTTGAACAAACACACTTTCCACACGGCACCACAACCTTTAATGCCATCAGAACACAACACGACAGGCACCATACTTTACATGCACGGTGCAGTGTACAATGATTTTCGGATGGTTTTGAATAATTTAATAGTGTTCTTTGAGAGAGAATAAGCTGAAATAACGTGAAACAGCTAAAAGTGTATCAGCCGAACAGTGGGTGTCATGCAGTGCCCGGTCACACGTAAGCATGGTGTCGTGCTAGTAATTGCCGTATTAACAAAGCACAACACCAAAAAGCATATGGTACCACCAACAATGCTAAATAATGCCAGTTTTTGAGCGCTCACACATTAATGGTAGCATCAACAATGTTAATAGTATAACATATGGTTTAATGATAACTATTGCTAAATCTTTTTTTACCATTGCTTGCTTAACATTGTCGAATATTGTCAATTTTCAAGGGTCACACAATAATGATAGATCAATAATATATCAACTATCGATGTCATGTATTCTATATTTACTTCTAGCCTCGGATACTAAAAGAATGTCTCATTAAACTATCTCATAATTAACAAAAAAATATATAAATAATTATAAATATTTATATTATTAGATTTCTTATGAAATATTGATATCGGTTATAGTGTTTAAACTAAGTACTCATATAGTCGTACTTTGAACTTCCTCCATACCTAAATAAATTAATTTATATAAATCATTTTTATATTTAACTAAATTTATATAAAAGAGTATAAATATATATGCTATCAAATAAACACATGGTGTATACATTTATACAAATTTGGTTTCATAAATCTTGATGCTATTTTTCGTAGAAATTCGTTCAAACTTAGAAAGATTTAACTTAAGATAACTTTAAGAATTGATTTATAGTAGGACGAATGGAGTATTAATTTTGAGACTACACACTATTTGCTTGAACTTATCAGTCCGGCCTATCAGCCATGATATAATATTTTTTCCTCACAACAAAACAGTATCAGCCGACTTATCAGCCGTAAAACCACCAGCCGAATAGAAAAATGGTAATACTAAACTGTACTTCCATATTTTGGTGGTTTGTTCTCATATGATGCATTAGTAAACTTATTTAAGGTTCGCACCATTATCGCGACGTAAAAAAAAAAACCACATATAAAACTATGCGAAAGATCATCACGACGTGTACGCATGGCGTATCAAAGCATCCACTTGCAACACTTTCTCCAAAATAATCCACATGGACCTTCTTGGAGGAGTCAGTCAAAACTTCAAAACCTTCAAAGTCACAATACATTCAGATTTATTCTTTTTTTAATTAATAAAGAGGGTATAAAGGGGAAGAAATAAATCTACCCTTTTTGAGATATTTTTTTACTGTCTCCGAGAAGCTATTCTTGGCTTCCCCATATAAACCAAAAGAGAAAAAAAAGGGGGAAAAGAAAGCAAGGAGCACCGCACCACGCCACTCCACTCCACTCCCCTCCCCTCGATCCAGCCATGGCGGCCTAGGCCCCCCTAGGGTTCCCCGTCAGCCCCACCCAGGCGCCTCCTGCCGCTTCCGCCGCTCCCCACCCGCTGCCCGATTCGGCCGCCGGCGTCGAATGGGAGGCCACCTGGTGCTCGGAGCCCGGTGTGACCGCGCGCTGCCGACGCGGCCGGAGGTTCCCTGAGCTCGGCGGCCGAGGGGGACTCTCGGCGGCGGCGCCGGCGCTGCCTGAGGCGAGGGGGGTTAGGGCGCGTGGCTGGTTCGGGGCGCGCCGCGCGTGCAATGGGGGATTTGAGGCGGTTCCTGTGAGTCACCGCGGCGGGTCTTGGTTCTGCGAGCGCGTGGCCTGTGCTCGTGAAGGTGGGGTTGTCTAGCTGCTCCTTGATCGGATGAGCTCAGCTCCGGCGTCCCGCCTCGGTTTCTCCGCGCGTTTGCTCCGTCGGTTGCCCAAAACCCAGCTTCTTGGATCAGGCCGTGCTCATTTCAGCGCTTTTCTTCGGTTCTTTGGGGAAAGGCTGGAGCTTTGAGGTGTCGCCTGGCGAGGGTGCGCAGCCGAGGATTTCCGGGCGATGAGGTCGGCCATGGCGCGCGTTTGCCGCGACAGTCCGGGGTTCGGGTAGCCGGTTCTTGAAGCGGATTTGGCTGCTGCTGCGTGGGAAGGGGGAGGCGGCGGCGGCAGCAGCAGCAGCAGAGGAAGGGTTGCTCTGAAGCGGAAGGGAAGCAGGCTGGCATTGCTGCCGGGAGCATGGTGAGGTGCTAAGGAGGAGCAGCTCCCGCAGTCGGTCATTCTCGCCGGCCGCACCTTGGTGTTCTTGTCCAAGGTCGTACTGGTGGTGGGAGATGAACCTCTCCCCGCCCAAGATGTCGGAGCCATCCCCTGAAAGTGACGGTATATCTCATATCACAATTTCGGCATTGATTCAGTTCAGAACTTCTCAACTTGTGTTACTCTCTGCATGATTTAGTGGATTATGCAATGCTGTCATTGTGCATTGATGTTTCCAAACAAATAAGCAAAAATGGCTTGCTCTTGTATATGCATGATTACATTCATTCAATCATATTCTTCACTTACTTGCACAAAAGAAAAGGTTCATGCATTGCTCGGCTTCACTCATGGTTCACATGTTGTAGTATTATTGGTATTCACTGAACCTCCTCTTGTCTGTAGCCAAGTACGAATAGTAGCTTCACATGAACTCTGCTTTCTGGTGGCTTCTTGTTCCACTCATGTGTGTTTGGCATTTTGCAGGGGAACAAAGGTGTCTGAACTCAGAGCTATGGCATGCATGCGCAGGGCCCCTTGTGTCCCTGCCTGTGGTTGGGAGCCGGGTCGTCTACTTTCCTCAGGGCCATAGTGAGCAGGTCGGTCACTCAGCAGTATCTTTGAATAAACTAGATATGGCCGAGTTTGTTGACTAAGACTATCAGGTCTGCAAATGAGGAATAAAAAGAATCACTTGAGCTGCTAACTTTCTGGTTCTTTTGGTTGTATGTGTCAAAAGAATCGAGTAGACATAACACTTCTGAAGATTCAACTGAAAAATTACTTTGCCCAACTATACACATAAAGATATCTTGTATTCAAATAATCAAATTTGTTCAAAGACTGTTATCGCTGAAGTCGCTTTTTAAGTCAATCTAGTTTTGCACAGGTTTATTTGTAGAGAATCACTTGCTCTCGTGCCTTTGTGCTTAAGAGGTTCTTTCGTTTGATTTTATTTCCATGCAGGTTGCTGCATCAACTAATAAAGAAGTTGATGCTCAGATCCCAAACTACCCAAACCTACCTCCGCAATTAATCTGCCAGCTTCATAATGTCACAATGCATGTAAGTTTGAACATAGTGGATCACCATCTAGTCTTTTAAGAAAATTATGAAATAATTTCTTTGTTAATGCAGGCTGATGCACGGAGACTGAAGAGGTTTATGCCCAGATGACACTGCAACCATTGAGCCCGGTATTTTACCAATTACCACTTAGCTCTATGCTTTTAACCTGGATTCTCATGAAAATTTCATTCAAAAGGTATTACAATGTCTATACACTCATCAATTGATTCCATGTACAGGAAGAGCAAAGGGACCTTTTCTTCCAATTGAGTTGGTGCTGGTAGTAAGCAGCCAACTAATTACTTCTGCAAGACATTGACTGCAAGTGACACTAGTACCCATGGTGGATTCTCTGTTCCGCGCCGAGCAGCAGAGAAAGTCTTCCCCCCATTGGTTTGTTTTTTTTTAAGATTTCAACTGAAAATTAAGTTTCGTTAAGCTCGATAGATTTATAAGAAATGGTTGTGCTTTTCTCTTGAAAAAAACTAATGCATTCGACCATGTGCAGGATTTTTCACAACAGCCTCCAGTGCAAGAGCTGGTTGCAAGAGATCTGCATGATAATGAATGGAAATTTCGCCACATTTTTCGTGGTATGTACTTAAATTATGGTAGCAAATGGAGAAATGATGCTGTTTGATTAGTGAACAAGTGGAATGGAACTTTAGCAATCAATAAGGAAGGGCGAAAAAATGTTACATTAGCGGCTTTCACTACTTACATATCTCAACTGTCTGTGAACAAGTGTGATTTTGCTTAGGTAGTTAAGTTAATTTAGTTAGTCTGGAAAATGTTGTATTGATAATATTTCTTTACCTCTGGATGTCTAGTGAAGTTATTGATACACCAAATTATATTCTGGGCTGTCTTGGTTGTTCTTTTTGTATCTTAATGTGATGCTTTGGCCCTTGCATGTGTTGTGCAGGTCAGCCAAAAAGGCATCTACTGACGACTGGTTGGAGTGTTTTTGTAAGCGCGAAAAGACTAGTAGCAGGGGATTCTATCATATTTATCTGGTATTTTCTACTTTTAATTTGAAACTGAACTTTATTCTAGTTTGGTTAAAGCTTCTGAGGTTGCTGACATGGCAAATCCTTTTTGTTTTTCTTTTCACCAGGAATGATAATAACCAACTTCTCTTGGGAATTCGTCGTGCAAATCGTCCACAGACTGTAATGCCTTCTTCTGTGCTATCAAGCGATAGCATGCACATTGGTCTTCTTGCTGCAGCAGCTCATGCTGCAGCCACAAACAGTCGTTTCACTATTTTCTACAACCCCCGGTACGTATGCTATGATCATACCATATTATACTTACCTTGTTTGTGCACTTAAGTAACTTGGTCACCCTTTGTCAGGGCTAGCCCTTCTGAGTTTGTCATTCCACTGGCTAAGTATGTGAAAGCTGTTTACCACACGCGTGTGTCTGTTGGAATGCGGTTTCGGATGCTTTTTGAGACAGAGGAATCAAGTGTCAGACGGTGAGTTTAAACTTATGAAGTGTACACAGCATGGGAACTATGTGCGTCTTATGGTTGCCTCTTCTTTCAGATACATGGGTACGATAACAGGCATAAGCGATCTGGACTCAGAGCGCTGGCCAAATTCACACTGGCGTTCTGTGAAGGTGAATTCTTTAAAACTGTTATATGGTTACAATTTACAAAACAATGGTCGATATCTTGTCTAGTGAAATTTTAATTATTCAATTTTCAAAGCCATCTGTTGTTGCATGCTCTATGTACCCTATGTGAGAACATTTTTTTTTGCGTCGAATGATGGTTTCTTTTCCTTTGGGTTATTGATACTTAGGTTGGTTGGGATGAGTCTACAGCTGGTGATAAACAGCCAAGAGTTTCACTCTGGGAGATTGAGCCACTGACAACCTTTCCGATGTACCCAACTGCCTTTCCATTAAGGCTAAAGCGTCCGTGGGCTTCAGGACTACCTATGTTCAATGGTAGGCTAACTATTGACCAGAACACTCAGTATTCATGGTAACGGTAACCAATTTCTCTTTGTATATGCAGGTGGGAGGAGCGATGAGTTCGCTCGTTATTCTTCTCTCATGTGGCTTCGAGATGGAAACAGAGGGGCTCAGTCACTGAACTTCCAGGGACTTGGAGCATCACCATGGCTTCAGCCAAGAATAGATTATCCATTGTTGGGTCTGAAGCCAGATACTTACCAGCAGATGGCTGCTGCCGCACTGGAAGAAATTAGAGCTGGGGATCATTTGAAGCAGACATCTTCTTTCCTGCCAATCCAACAGACTCAAAATTTGAATGGTGGATTAGATCCTTTGTATGGAAATCCTGTTCTACAGCAGATGCAGTTCCAATCTCAGCAGTCACCCCTGCAAGCTGTGCAGCAAGGTTATGGTCAGAATGCAAGCGACTCTGGGTTCCTTCAAAATCAGCTGCAGCAGCTGCAGCTGCAAAAGCAGCAGGAGCCACCACCACAGCAGCAGCAGCAGCAGACACAAGTTCTGCAGCAACAATCGCATCAGGAAATGCAACAGCACCTCTCAGCTAGTTGTCATGATATTGCTAATGTAGCTTCTGGTGTGTCCGAGTCTGGATCTGCTTGTCAATCACAATCTTCTTTGCTTTCTGGGTCATCGTTCTATCAACAGAACATCTTTGATGGAAACAATGGTCCAGATCTGCATCTGCACAACAGTTTCCACAACTTTTCAAGCCAAGAGTCCTCCAACCTTCTTAATCTCCCAAGAAGTGGCCAATTAATGGTATCAGAGGGATGGCCTTCAAAGAGGTTGGCCGTGGAATCTCTTGCTGGTCATGAGCTCCAACCTGTGCAGCCCAAGCTTGAGAAAGTGAATCACCAGAGTAATGTACCTCACATTTCTGGCACCTTGCCGCCACTGTCAGCAAGAGACGGTTCTAGTGCCCAGGCTTGTGGTACAAATGTTCAGAGTCACCTGCTTTCATCATCATTTGCAATCCATGATGGCTTGTCAACCGTCAGGAGTGGTGGTGTTGGCAGTGGAACTGATGCGACAACCATAGCTTCGTTGAGATATGGTGACATGAATTTGCTACCTGAAAACTCCATAGCAACTTCCAGTTGTTTGGGTGAATCAGGAACCTTCAATTCTCTTGACAATGTTTGTGGTGTAAACCCATCACAAGGTGGAACCTTCGTGAAGGTATGTGTTCCTACTTGTGCTGTATATTTCTTCAAATCCATCAAAGGGCATGTGAAGTTGCCAAGTTAGTAACTGCAAGAGCACTTTGTTTTGCGGAGGTAAAAAGGTCCATTTTGGTGTGTTGTCGGGTTGATGGTTCACAAAGCAGTCAATTAAATCTTCAAGTTCTACGCTTGTCGAGTGATCTTCAAGTTCTTCAAGTTCGTAACTGCATCACATCCTTTTGACGCCTTCTGTTCCCTTTTTGTTCCACCACTAGGTTTACAAATCAGGGTCCCTCGGGAGATCGCTCGACATCACCAGATTCAGCAGCTACTACGAGTTACGTAGCGAGCTCGAGCGGTTATTTGGTCTTGAAGGCCAACTGGAGGACCCTGTAAGATCAGGCTGGCAGCTTGTATTCGTCGACCGGGAAAATGATATTCTTCTCGTCGGCGTGACGACCCGTGGCAGGCACGTGCATGCAGAACTATCTTCCTTTTGCGTATACATATTTATCTGGTCTGAATTTTCACTCAGCGTGATCATCGTTGGACCCCATGTTTTTTCCAGGGAGTTTGTGAATAGCGTATGGTGCATAAAGATCCTCTCGCCACAAGATGTGCAGCAGATGGTCCGCAGCGGAGGCGACCTTCTGTCTACACCTGGAGCGAGGATGCTGCAGAGCAGTGTCTGCGATGACTATTCTGCAGGCCACGACATGCAGAACATCACCAGCAGCATTGCACCTGTGGTGCCTCTGGACTACTGAGACTGAGATGAAGACCGGAATCTGAAGTTCTGAACCAAAACCAGCAATTCAGCACCGGAGGATTGCCATCTACAAGTCGTTTCAGTTCCTATGATCATCTCTCAAGTCCTGTTGGTCAGAAATAACCTAGCCGTTAATATAGCTAGATGATCCATTGTATCATTATGGTAATGGACATGTTGTACGGTAGCTACTGTAGCTATGAAAGTATGAATGCAGGCACTCACTGTAGAGGTGACCTAGCCCTGTAGTTCTCTCTATTATCTACGCATATCTAAAACAGATGGTTCCATGTGGCGCCTAAACTATTGAAACCTGTCACTGCTGCCTATGTTAATTTTTTTTCAACTCAATTTGCGGTTGTTTGATCTTGCTGCATGCCATACAAGTCAATTTTTTGTCCTGTTTGTAATTCAGTAGTCTGTACCAGGCTTTGACCTGTTAATCCGCGACTTTCATGTCTACCAAACAACGATTTCTATGGAATCAGGGTATAGCATAGAAGAGGAACCCATTTTAGGGATTCCTAAGCTCCCTCTTAGCCCCCCATGTGCCATTAAGAATGCTGGAATCATCTTAACACTTGAAGGGTCAATCTCTGAAATTTCTAGTAATCAGAGTAATTTATTCGATGGTTTTACTATGGCTTGGATTAAAAAAAAATAGTAACATGTGTTTGTAAATAGTGAGATTGCTCCAGAATTGACAGTGGCTTCTCCTGGTTCTACTAGAAATGTACACCAGTTAAAAACAGAACTTTACACATCTGCAGCATTTGGCTACAGCCCAGATTGCTTGCTAGAACTCAGTTTGAGTTCAGAATTGACAGTGTCTCCTGGTTCTAGAAATGTACACCAGAACTTTTACACATCCGCATTTGGGTACATCCCAGTTCTGTCGATGAGAACATTCCCTATTTCCCTATTTGGGTGACAATCTAGTTCGCAGATTGTACAGACAGGGCAAGCACCACATTTCTCAGTGGCCCGACGTGAATGCGCTCACGCTGCATTTTTTTTTTCTCGAATAAGCAAAAAGTTTTACGTATCATTGTATTAAGATCGAGAAGGGTGCGTGGTTACAACGACGCGCCACCGCAATGGCACACTGGGGATGGTGAAAGGATTTAATCACTGCCCTGCGCTCACGCTGCAGTCAGTCGAAGAGCTAGGCTGAAGCTGAAAAACTCCGGAGCTGATCGCAGGAACCAGGTCAAAGCATGCATGGAAGTAGGGAGAGTAGACATGCTTGCATGCAACCGGTCAAAGCCACAAGAATTCAGCTAGGAAGCATTGCCAGCTGATTTGCAAATTGTTTGTTTAGATGTATGATTCTGCATTTTCTACCATCAATGGCCCCTGGAATCACTAATATTTACATAGGCAAGCAGTGGAGAATGGAGCCTGCTCCAACAGACTACCGGCTGTCCTGATCCTTGGCAACAACACTTGTTCCATTTAGTTTCTGAACATGTAGGGCGGTTTAAAGAGTAGATTATCTGAACATCAGATGGCTGCAGGCCAAACTAGACAACCAGCTCAGGATTACACAAAGGCAGACGGCATCTAAACCACAGCGACGAGCAGCTAGCAGTGCCCTGGGACTGGGATAAACATGAACCAGGGATGAATTTTCATGTACTTACAAATTAAGCCCATGCCATTGCCCTGATATACTGCCATCAGCTATGGAATTGGAACAGAGAATCAGAGATGAATGTCAGCCCTTGTTCCAGAGCGTGGTAGCTACACTAGAGGAACCAGGCGCAGCATCGCCGGAGCCGGCACGGCTCACGGCCGGTCTTGCGGATGCGCTCCACCTGCTGCGCCAGCCGGGGCGCCTGCCGGCTCCGGCGCGCCTCCACCCTCGCCTGCTTCCCCTCCACCTTGTGGCTCAGTGCCGACAGCCTCCTGGCCAGGTCCTGCTTCGCCCGGGCTTTCATCTGCTCTGCCTGTGCCTGAACCATTCGGTCCAATATACTCATCAGAGTGAGAATTGCTGAATAGGAGTACTCCATCCATGAATTCGAACCAATGCAGCTAACAGAGAATGTTGTTCAGAGATTGATTGAAAGAAGGAAACTCGAAAAAGTTCAGAAATAGAAAAATTGAATGAATGGAACTGACCTCGGCCTGCCTCAGCTTGGCTTCGAATTTGGATTTCTGTAAGCTTTCCCACTCCTGTATCTTCACCTCCTTCCTCTGGTAACTGATCATGCACATGATAAGGAATTAGAAGTCACTCAATTAGTATGTGATCAGAACAATTCCTGGAGATTTCTTTACCAAGTTAGCATCAGCAACAGAGATTCAAAGCGTTTTCAATGAAAATTCTTGTCAAGGGGAATTTTATTTTTTTTTAAAAAAATTTTTTGCTCACCGTGACGCGAGTTTACACTTTTTGGACGCTTCCCATGCCGTGGCGCGAGCTTCGAACGCCTTCCTCTTGATCTCCTCGTCGATGTCACCGGCGCCCTTCTCCGGGGAGGCGGCGGCGAGGAGGCTCTCCTCCTTGCTGGCCCACGACGCGATGTTCATCTTGCCGAGCTGCAGGCCGAGCGCGGCGATCTCGCGCCGCGTCCTGAGCCGGAGCTCCCGTTCCGACGCGGAGGCCGACGACGACGCCGACGCGCAGCCGCCGCCGCCCCTGGGGCTGGACGGCACCGAGCAGAGCGGGCTGAGCGACGGCGTGACGGCGCCGGCAGGGGTGCCGCTCCGCGACTGCTCCTGGCTCGCGATCGGCGTCATCTCCGTCCCGACGTCCCGCATCGACACCGACGGCGCGAAGCGGAGCTTCTTGTGCGGCGGCTTGCTCGCCGGCCCGCTCACCGACGACGACGGCGACGAGGACTTGGACGACAGCTCGGTCAGCGCGCTCGCGGCCGCGCCGCTGGCCCTGGACGCCGTCGCGGACTCCGGCGCGACGCGGCCGCCGGGGCATGGCGGCGCCGCCGCGGCGGCGGGCTTCTTGGAGAAGATGGGGTTGGAGTGCACGACGTGGCGCCCCGCGATCCACTTCTCCGCGTCGTTCCACTTGGATGGCACCTGCTGCCGGAAGAACGGCGCGGACACCGCCACCGTCGTAGCCGGCACGGCCGCCCTCTCCTCCTTGCAGAACTCGAAGTTGCCGCCGGCGCCGGCTCCGTTCTCGATGCCGCTGTCGCTGCCACTCCCACCGCAGCTGCGGCTGCGCGCCGCCCTGCCGTGGCTGGCGTCGGAGCGCGACCGGGAAGAGTCGGACCGGTGGTCCTTGGGGTACTCTGCAGGGCGCAGGCGATCGAATCGCTCACTTCGCTCATCGAGCAACGTGCGGCTGCTTGCGAAAGACGGAATCTTTACGCGTGGCGTCAGAGTGTCAGAGGGAGCAACGCACCTTCGTCGAGCTCTTGCGGCAGGAGGCTGTTGTTGGGGTGGTCATCGTCGTCGTCGAGCCTCGACGGCGGCGACGCTCGCGGCGACTTGCGAGTAGACTCGTCCTTGTGGCCGGAGCCCAGCAGCTTCATCCTGAGCTTGGTTGGAGAGATGACCCCCATCTGCATCCAGAATCCATCCATCACACAAGAACAGTATCCATGGGAGTATACTAGTAAAAATCTCAGCACTACGCCAGCATTAGCAGATTTTTAAAGCGGTCAATGACGCAGTTACCGAGAGGCAATTGATGTGTGTGTGTTTGTGTGTGACAGTGTGAGAGAGAGGGGAATCAAGGAAGGAAAGCTGTAAAATGTAGTGGTAGCAGTACTTTTAATGTCACTGTAAATGGCTGCTAGTAAATCTGTGCCTTCTGCCTTGCTGCTGCAGATAACACATAGTGTATGGGTCAACTATCTGCTCCATACAGTACCAGAAATAAAGCTGTTCATTTGACCCAACCCAACCTCAGCAAAAAAATGACGAAGAGGGAGAGAATATGGCATCACAGGCCATCAGCAAAGCTTCAGCGAAGGCAGGAAGAAGAAGACGAAGAACTGACGCAAGAACCGAAGATAAATGGACAAGTTGCAACCATACAGTACGTGCTACTGCTAGTCTGTAATCCATTTGCTTCAGTCGCATTGCTACTCCACTCACCTCTCTCTCTCTCTCTCTCTCTCTCTCTCTCTTTTTTTTTTTTTTTGAGAATACTCCACTCACTACTCTAGTACCAAGAACGACAACAATCCGGAAGCGAAGCGATGCAGAGCATTGGAAAGCAATGGCCGTTACCTGAACTTTGTGTATCCTCTCGTACCCCATGGCCACAAAACCTCTCTTGTGCTCTCTCTCTCTCTAATCTCAGTAGTATGTGTGTGTGTGCTGCATAGCACAAGAAGAGAGGACGGAGGTTCGTTCGTCCGCGCCCAAATGTGGCGACCGCGCGCACAAGAGAGGGGAGTTTAGTTTTATATTGAGTGGAGGAAGGGAGGGGGCGACTAGCGAGGGAGGCGCGCAAGGCAAGCAAAGCAACAGGAACAAGACGACGCCGGCAATGGCATTGGAGACGGAGCTGAGCGAGCGTGCGGGATCCAGTGCGGACCACCAGTCACCACGGGGCGGGTCCCCTCATTCTCGGCAGCTTGGACCGTGTGGCCGGCGCTCGGCGGGAGGGACCGAGGGAGCACCACGTAGTGCACCTTCCTCTCCGCTTCACCTTTCGTTTCCATGAATGGATTTTCTTCTTCTTTTCGACATAAGGTTTTCCATGGATAATACTACCAACTTACGAGGGTTTTTATTTACTCAACCAAAGCTGCAACAAATTTGGGTCGAAATCCAAACTATTTCTGGCGAGGAGACTGTCCCTAAGAAAGTCTCTCAAATGATTTTCAAATTTTCTACCTCTCAATGTGTTACATTGTGAACACCTTCACCTTAGACACTGAGTTAGCTTTTCAAAACCATTTCTTAAAACACTTTCACTTGCTTCCTCACCGCGTCACTAGGTCCAATATATATGCAAAGTTAGTTCAAGCCTAGTGGCACTAGATAACCGATCCGTCTTTGCTTTAGAGTTCTCCTCTT